AAATAAATACAATATGAAGCTGTGATTTAACTTTACTGAGTCATGAAGGAGCCTAGATTTCCCTTGCCCCTCATTTAACTTTCTTCATTATGTACTTTTTAATTTCTGCCTTTTATTGCCTCTATGTCATACAGATCTAGGAAACTAAGGTTAATCTTAAAAAAATTAACCAGCTTTAAACTGGTTTATTAAGCTGACATGTTTAAACTAATTGTAGTTAAGATAAACCAGGATATTAGAAATATACAACAAACTGAGGTTAAATCAAAAGCAGCAGCAGAGTTGAAAACTTCTAAACTTCTCCAAATTTTTCAGAAGAGGGAGTTCACAAAACTAGCTTATATAAAATTTTTTGTATACTATAATTAATACAGTATATGTCCATAATGATAAGATAGAGTTTAGTAGCATTTCTTTTTGAGATGAGCTTGTGTTTAGTTTGCTTTGCTTTTTATAAATGGAGGCATCATGGGCGTTCTAAGTTTAAAATATAATTAATGTGGATTTTCGCCATATGTATATGAACAAATTGCTGTTAGTGTCAGTAAGGCTTCTGTTACTTCAGCTCACAGTGTTTTTCTTGTTAGTTCCAGAAGTTGAATTGAAAGGAGAAACTTGCAACTATTATTTCTTAGTACAAGGCAATGACTGTGGAGGATGTAAAGCAACATTGATCTATTCTGCCAGTCAGATCAACGGCTCAATAACTTTTGCAGAAACTATTGGAAAACTTACCACAAATACAGGAGAAGCAGGAGCAGGTATGTCTGTGAAGGGGAGTAAAATGGCAGAAAAGTCTGTGCCGATTTTTATTCCAAGTAAAAAATGTTGAATACTTAGATCTTTAGTAAAGATGTAATATTTGAATGTTCAGCCTTTGGAATTTTAAATATAAACAGTTCTAAAGGAGTCGTGTCTGTGGATTAAAAACAGATTATAATCAGTTTTGCCTATTAGCTGTTTTGATCAGACTATGAAATTCAAAATACAGACTTGTTCTCTAAGGTTTTTTTTGTCACTGACATCAATATAAATCTTAGAATCATTATTAAAGACCCAGCCTTGTTATAAGTGCATGATTTAGGCTCTATTTTCTTTTACTGTGTTTTCAAATAAAATCAGTTCCAGTCATACAACTTCATCTGAGGCTTGCTAGATTTGGACAGTACTAAGGTGTTTTGTTGGCTTGTACACATTACTCCATAAGCAAACCTATTTACTCTGTCTTCTTTGAAAACAGTATTTTTTAGACAAGCAGTTGCTTTGTATGTAAAAGTAGATGTATTATTGAATCATGGTCATAATATAATTTACTAAGCATAGTTTAAGAGGAAAAAAGGTATCTCTTGGTCAGTTCTCTCCCAGTTTCTTAATGACAGGCATAATCATAATATAATTCACTAAGCATAGTTTAAGAGGAAAAAAGGTATCTCTTGGTCAATTCTCTCCCAGTTTCTTAATGACTGGCAATTTTGAATGGCTCTTGACTTTAAATCTTCCAGTGGATAGTTTAGGTCACATTCATAGGCTGGTTTGCTGCTGCCAATATGGAAATACAGTTTCCTCAGGTCAGACCAAAAGGTAGCTTTTTGCTTTATCTATCATTTGACATGTAATGTGACTGATGTGAGGCTAGCTGTAGCTCTTGATAGTGCACCTCTTCTCTGCTTAGTAAATCTTGTATTCCAAATTGCTTTGCTCATCTGTTGCAGGGGTCGCTCTCTTGACAGCATTTTTAGTGTAATTTTCTTCCTTTGGATTTATGAAAGATTTGAAGGCAGGGGCCACTGAGAATTGCTAGTCATTAAGAAATGTGGTCCAGGAGAGATCTCCTCTCTTCAATAACTTCATTTTGCTAGTGATTGATTTCAAGGGTCATGTTGTCATTTGGTGAATGAATTGGATAGTAAAATAACAAAATCCGAGTGATCTTTGTGTTGTGTTTTGTATGTCTATGTGGACTGCCTGGCCTCTAGCAAAATAAGAAAGGAAGAGTTCCCAGCTGTGGTTCTGTGAAACACTGGGATTCTCTGAAGAAAATGTTATAAAGCTCATTTGGTATTTCCCTTGTTTATATTGTTCGATTTCAGAATTTAATATAATTCAGTATTCCTTTTTCCTCTCCTCTCCTCCTCTCCTTTCAACATAGATTTGTTTGAAGAATGCATCAGATCTCTCCCACATTTCCACGGAGAACAGATTTTACAAAGGGAGAAGAAACTGGCTTGCGTCCAAGCATTGGCTTTGAATCATTGCCTGAGTGAGTAACAGAGAACAGCCAGCCAGTGAATTGATATACACTAAATTTATCTTAATTTCGGGTTTAATTTGACAGTGTTTACATTACAAGCTCAGGAGAAGCTAGTAAGTTCAAACAATGTTTAAAAGTGCTGTCATTAAGAAAAAAAATAGAACTGAATGTCAGGTAAGCCTCTGCTGGAAGGAGAATTTATTCCCCTGCCACTCCCTCAGACTGATTGAATTCTGTATGATTTGGAAGGAAGGGAAAGGGGAGGATTGTACTGTTTCCAGAGTGAATTTACAAGATTAACATGAAAATCCTGTGAAAACAGGGCCAGCAGTGAAACAGGGTTAGCATTTTTTTCCTACCCAACTCTTTCTAGTATTTCTCTAACCAGTAATGATATCTAGATATGAGTGTCTCATATTTATCTTCATGTAAAAAGATGTTAACATTTGAGATCTATATAGGAAACTTAAAAGTGGTGAGCCTGACCATAGGGGTGGTGGTAACCGGTCCTCCTTGTCTGTGAGTACAGACAGTGTCTCTGCCAGGATCAAAGCTCATCTATAAAGTGATGCAAGACAATCTTGGGAATGGATCTATGTCATCTAACACTTGGTCTCTTGTGATAGGGAATTTCTGATGCTTCTGAAATGAGTATGAAAGGGGGGAATAGCTTGGTCTCGTGGGGAAAAATCGGATCTAGCCTGATGGTCTGCATTTGAACATGAGATCACAACTGTTTGAAAAGGGGGAGGTTGCTTGTACCTGGATAACTTTTCCACATGAGCCAAACTCCCCTGAATCAGATATGTGACTCCAGTGGAGAGATTACCTTGAATAGCCTCTCTAGCAATTATGTTTCTGTGTTCAGTCCTTAATAGTTGAAAAGGGCTATAGCAGCAACATGGCTCAATTACAATGTAGTAAATTAACAATATTGTACATCTTATGCTCAGTAACATGTTTGTGACTGCAAGAAAATGCTATAGTAGAGTTTCATTTCACATTTACAGAAAGGCAGGACTGTATGAGACAACAGCTGGAGCCTTTAGCTGATGAACTGAAAAGTCTGCTAACGAATAACAGAGAATGTTTCCTAGAGTTGTGGAGTGCTAGCCATCCAAATAACATCTGTCTAGTAGCAACTGCTGAAACAAAAGGCCAAGACATCATTTATGGTAGGCACCTTTTGGTTGCTTAATTATTCCCATTTGGGAACATGAGAGCCAATGTGATGTACTGATTGCAGTGCTATACAGTGGTGCCTCGCTTGATGAGGATAATCCATTCCAGCCAAATCGCTGTAGAATGAAATTGTCGTCAAGCAAAAGTAAAAATCCCATTGAAATGCATTGAAAACCGATTCCAATGGGCGAAATACCTGTGTCCAACGAAGATCCTCCATAGGGCCGCCATTTTCCAGTGCCTGTAAAGCGAGGAATCCGTCCTAAAACACACAGCGGGGAGCCATTTTACACAGCGGGAAGCCATTTTGAAAGCTTGACGATCAGCTGTTTTGATTGTCGTTAAGCAAAAAAATCGGTTCCTGAAGCAGGGAACCGATCGTTGTGAAGCGATTTTTCCCTATTAAAACATCATTTTGCAATCGCAAAAGTGTTCACAAAAAGTTCATCGTTAAGCGATTTCCTCATCTAACAAGGTAATCGTCAAACGGGGCACCACTGTACTGGAAACAGGAGACCTGAGCTCAAGTTTTGCTCAGTCAGGAAACTCACTGAGTAATCTGGCACTAGGCACCGTCTTTCCCTGCCTATCTCAAATGATTGTTGGAAGAGAAAGTAGGGATGGGAAAAACATGTATGTCATCTTGAGTTCACAAGAAGAAAGGCAGGATATAAATGTAGCAAATAAACAGCCATGAAACAATGTCACATAAACAGCATAAATAGGAGTGTGCCTGCTTTGATATGTTCTTGTAATTGATTTTTGTTTCACCTTGTCCCTTGAGGAGCAAGGTATAATCTTTGTGGATCTTCTCTATGCATTGTTTTCCCTCTCTAATATATGTACTTTTTAGTTATAATAAGCGCAGTATTTTCATACTGTGTCCACCTGAATATAACATTTTGTTTGTCCAATTTTGTTGCTGCTAAAAAGTTCAATTGGAATTAATAGTATTTTGTATGTTGGCATGGGAGTTGCAGAAAGCACAAATGTCTCTTGTTTGGCTAGATGAGCAATACACCAGTCTTCCCAGAACTCTTCATAGTGGCATATTAGCACAGACAAATGTCTCTTGTTTGGCTAGATGAGCACCAGTCTTCCCAGAACTCTTCATAATGGCATATTAGCACAATGGCATCTAAACCCAAATTGATTTTGAATGCACGTTGATCTTACAGTGGGTTGTTTTCACTGTTCTCCTTTTGCTTATCTTCTCTCTTCAGATTTGGAGCTAAAAGACTCAAATTCATTGCAGTGGCCAGAGAGAAGTGTCCTTCAGAATTTAGAACATTTTGAAAAAATTAAACAAAAAACAAGGTGATCCTAAGGAATTAAACTCATGTTGCATGCTGGCATATGTTATAAATTACATTACCTCCCTGCTCTTCATTTTTACCTGGTTGGCTCGCGTGTTGTAACCTTTTATTTCAGTTACATTTTTCTTCCCTCCATCAGAGTTTCTGAACAACTTATGGGCCGGAAAGATAGCCAAAAGGGCTCAATGGCATTGCTTGATGCTAAGGAGCTGTTGAAGTATTTCACCCCAGAAGGGCTACCTGTTGGGGATCTGCAGCCTTTACACATCCAAAAAAGGTAAGCCCTTGTTTCATAACGTCATGGCTCAAGCTAGATGAATTTGCTGTTCTACGGCTTCAGAAATATTGATATTAGAAGCATGACGTGTGCTAGAGTAATTTTGAAACACGGTGCCAGTGTGCCATTCTTCTGATTCATCGTGGGAGAATCGTTTCTGTTTTCATAAGTAAGAAAAGCTTCAAATTAAAACAGTTTCTTCTCCCGTCAGTGACAATGCTTTTCGTCTGACACCAAAACTGACGCCTCGAAAACTGAGAAGTTTGCCTTTTGAAAAAGCTGCCGACTGCCATTACCATGGCCTTGAGTAAGTTCTGTTGGAATGAATGTGGTGAATTGATTCTTGACTTCTCTTCTTCAGGGTAAATTCAGTTTTAGAAAACTCACACACTGTTTCCATTTAGTCTTATAATTAAATGAGTCGGAAACTGTTCTGTAGTTCCTAACCTCTAGGAATAATTGGTTGAAGTGAAAACAAATGGTCTTGACTTCAGTTAATTTTGTTATAATAATAAGTAATCAGGATGTTGTGTCATAAGTTCATCTGAAGGAAATTTTTCATTGAAGGATATAATTTAATCTAAGGAATATTATGGCTAGTTAAAGTTCTATAATGGTAGGGCAAGGAAGCATTGGTTTAGAGGAGATTTATTTGCAATATCTATACTGAAATTACTGATCCCAGTGTAGACTTTTTACTTTTAGGGCCCATGTGCCTATTCTCTTACCGTTGCTGCGCATATTCACAGATATGACTAGTATAGTTATACTGCACACACTATTTTAATGATGATACTATGTGTTTTGTATTATGTACACAATACCAAAAGAGTGTGATAAAAATGATTTATGTACTGTTGCCCACTGTTGGTAGACTGACTTCATTCTGTATCTGTTACTTTGGTTTTTTGCCTCTTTTGTTTTGTTTTGTTTCCAAGAGCTCTTTTAGGGCTTTAGCATGGGGAAAACGAAAATGAAGAAAGGACCCAGAAGACACAGTTCCTTTCATGTCAAACACATACACAAGTTTGCCTTGGTGGTTGTCTGCCTGGCACCCGAGTACTGAAGTATAAAAATTGAGGAAGAATTAAATAACACTATCAGCTTCAGAGAGTTTAGTTTCAGCTTCAAAGGACATCTCCAAGCTTTCATGGACTAAGATGGTGGTTGTCATTGATTGTTAAACACTTTGAAGGGTCTGGAAGTGCAGGGGGGCATGCTGAGATGCTGCATTAGTTTCTTACTAATCGTAGCTCTTCTCAATAGCTGAATACAAATGAATAAAAAGAAACAAGGGTAACCACAAAGTGCATTTTAGCCATAATTTAGCAGAGAGTTCCAAAGCACTATAGCTAAATCAAGACAGTGAGGTTAGGTACAAATTTGCCTTTATATTTTATATTTGCTTAATTATTTCAAGGGCTGAAGTATTGTGTTTTGGCTGCTGTGTGTCTTGTCTTGACTTATGTCTGCTTAAACTTTAAAAAGTTCCACTGAATTAGTAGGGCTTATGGTCCTTTAGGTATTCTGGATCACAGTCTAATGTTGTGTGTGTGTTTTGGGAGGTAATAATATGGTAACGGTGAGCAGCTGTTTCTGAAATATTTTAATATATTAAGTTATCTGACTGCAGTTGTCAAATTGATAATTTAGTGGCACCAAGAAGTGGGGAAGAAGAGCCATACACCATCTTCTCAAAGTTTTGGACAGCTTGAAAGGATTCAAGACCCTTTAGAGAACTGTCATCAACAACAATGGAAAAGCAGCTTGCAGTGTTCCTGGCTTATGCTCTTTAGTGCTATTTCTGATATTCAAAATTCAGGGAATTACTTCTATAACCTTTCCCAGTGCTTGGAATTATCAGCCAGAGCTAGATATTTTTAAATGAGAAAGATCTTATTATAAAAAGAGGATTAAAAAAGTGAGCATAACCATAGAACTATAGAACCACATAATAATGTAGTTGGAAGGGGCCTCCTATAAGACCATTGATTCCACCCTCCTGCTTTATGCAAGATTCCAAATCAAAGCAGATCTCACAGATGTTTGTCCAGTTTTCCCTTGAATGCCTCTAGTGTTGGAGTGCTCACCACCTCCGGAAGTAATTGGTTTCTTTGTCATAGTGTTCTAACAGTTAGGACGTTTTTCATAATAATGTAGTTGGAAGGGGCCTCCTATGAGACCATTGATTCCACCCTCCTGCTTCATGTAGGATTCCAAATCAAAGCAGATCTGACAGATGTTTGTCCAATTTCCCTTTGAATGTCTCTAGTGCTCACCACCTCTGGAAGTAATTGGTTTCTTTGTCGTAGTGTTCTAACAGTTAGGACGTTTTCCCTGATACTCGGCTTTCTGTAGCTTGAACTCATTATCATGTGTCCTGCACTCTGGGATGATCAAGAACAAATCCTGCCTCTCCTCTCTTTGTCATAGTGTTCTAACAGTTAGGACGTTTTTCCTGATACTCAGCCGAAATCTGGCTTTCTGTAGCTTGAACTCATTATCATGTGTCCTGCACTCTGGGATGATCAAGAACAAATCCTGCCTCTCCTCTGTGTGACTATTCAAGTATTTGAAAAGGGCTATTGTATCTCCTCTCCCCTCTTATCCCCTCCCTGGCTTGCCAACAACTTACCATTAAACAAAATGTTACCATTTTAATGATATTGATTTTCCCACCAGCCTGAACCCCTCAGATCACCACCTTAAGACTACCCTCTTGTGGAGTCTTGCCTTGTGTTCCTGCCTTCCACAAGGCACTGGTTAAATCCTATTTCTATCTGCCTACCTAATTTGGTATGTGGGGGCGTGTTTTTCCCCCCTAAATTTATTAGCTGTTACTTGTATGAACCCTTGGACCAAAATACAAGAGGGGTTCCATTTCCCCATGATGTACTACTTTCCATATATTTGATATTATAAATTTAACATTATACCTATCCTTTACGTATTAAATCTATAAACTCATTTCTAAGTCTATTGTAGAAGAATGATGGGCATTATGAAAATGTTATTTTCATATTTCATTACTTCAGTTCATTTCTTCTTCATTCCTCCTTGCCCTGATGTGTATGTAGAGTGTGTTGTGTTTCTGGTTCCCTTCTTGATGTGTCCGGCTGTCCTTGAATATTGCAGTTCTGATCCACGATTGTCTTTGCCCTTCCACATTCCTCAACTGTGTCCAAATGTTCTGTGTCTGTGGGAAGGTCAGTCTTTAATTTCTGCAGGAGGTCCTCAATTGCTGCCTTGTTAGTAGCTGATAAAACAACCCCACCTGAGATGACTTGTAGGCAGAAGGGAAACCCCCATCTGTCCTTCACTCCTTCCTCCCGTAAAAGTTGCATGTAGGGATGAAATTCTTTTTGACGCCTAATGGTTTCCAATTCTAAGTCTGGAAAGATTTGTATATACAGAAGCTCTTTCGAGGTTTGTGCTATTTCTTTCTTTTTAAAGCAGGCAAAGCAAAGTACCATGTCTCTAGGATTTTTTGTTTGTGGTGGTCTGAAAGCAATTGCATGGTGCACACGTTCTAAATCTTCTACAGTTAGAGAAAGGTCTGACCATTGAGATTGAAACCATGCTACTTTCTTTTTTCTACACCTTCTGGAAGACTGCGCACACGAATATTAGTTCTTCTACTGCGATTCTGCAGGTCCTCCAGCTGTAGTTTCATATAAAAATTGTCCTTTTGCAGTGCCTGAATGGAAGTTTTGCTTTTTGTTACTGTCTCTTTAATCTCTGCTTCAGCCTCTTTAATTCTATTACTCAAAGCTTCCATGAAGACTGTCTCCCAATCCACTCTCTAAACGCTGGGAGGAGTGAGGAAGCAGACAGGCACCCTTTTCACTGGCCAACAGTTAACTGAAAGTTCAAATTTTGCACTTTCCCTGCCTCCCATGTGGTTTTTTTTCAGTTCTTAACTCAAATCTAAGTATGTAAGTCAAGTCAATATTTTCCTATGAGAGTGGTTCTTAAGTCAAAATGTTCTTAACTCAAGCCGTTCTTAAGTCAAGCCCCCACTGTATTTCTTTCAACTTTGTGTCTAACAGCTCGACCATTCCCTGCATTATTTCCATTTTCAACATTTGTAGCTTAGGGTCAAGAACAGACTCACCCTCTGTTAGAACCTCTGTCAGCGCCTCCTCTGTTGCTTTTTCTCTGGTCACCATCTCACACTCCTCCTGGTGAGAGACATGTCAAGATCTTGGAAAGTTTAGTTTTTGGCTGTTTTTTGGCTGTTATTTATTACTTCACTTCCTCCAGACAGGTCCTTTCACCTTGCCAACAGATAGAGACTTAATTTATGGATTTTCAGCAGAGATGGTAACATAATATAAGTAGTAATTTCAAAAGGTCTGGGAGCTCTAAATAGTTGCATCCTACTCCATTCTGGGCAGTCTCCTCCAGCACAGTTCTTTCAGTCTTTCTGCGTAGGGCTTGGTTTCCAGTCCCCTGACTGACTCTGTTGCCCTCTTCTAAACTTAAAGCCTTAAGCCTGGTCACTCATTCCTCCAGTTCTTTCACTTTCACTTCCAAAAGGGAAGTTTGTACTTGCTGCATGTGTACGCTGTATTTATTCTCTGGCATGAAGACAAACATTGCATACGCCTTGCTCATCACCACCACTGAAATGTCTCTTCCCTCTATAAATCCTGTTCCCTCTACAAATCCTGTTCTGTTCGACCACTGAAATGTCTCTTCCCTCTATAAATTCTGTTACTTTTTGGCTTTCTTCTGTTCGTCTATGAGTGCCCTTTCCTTTGTCTTGTCTGTCTTAAAGGCTCCTGGGAAAGTCAGTTAATATATAATTATATACAGAAAACATTTTTTAAAAATTAGAGAAAAGTTCTTAGGGGCTTTTCCTTTGGCATTTCACCGTCAAACTCCTGTTTTGCTCTCCTCCGTTTGCTCGCTCCCTGGAGTCTCTCAGTTTTATCCCTCTGCTGATCTCTGTTAGGAGTCAGCAAACAGAAAGGACCACTCACTACTCCCAGCTCCTGTCTGTTGCCTTCAGCAATTACCAGGCCATAACCCTTTCCCTTAAGCTGAGCACATGGTGCTCCTGAATGGGGGAGAAACAAGTTACTCCAGGTCACTTGTTGCTATTAATTTAAATCCATACCGTCTGCCTTGGTTTCTCCTTTTCTTTGGTCTCTTTCTCCAGTAGACCCTTTCTTTACTACCTTTCCCCCAGATCTATAAATGAGAGTTTTATGCTGTCATAAAAGAGTTTATGCACGATATATGAATACTTTATCTTTGTAAAATGGACAGCAGTGCATACTTGAGAATATAAATAAGGGCAAGCAAATACCATGAAATGGATGAACAAGAAGAATTATGTTGTATCAGATAATGAACTTGTTTCTAGTGGTAAAACTGAATTCATTACTTAAGTCAATTAAAAAGCCTCTGTTTGAGGGTGGGGGAAATACACTTTAGGCTAAGTATGACAATATTATCTTTCTAGTAGAAAGTCAGTTGATTTGTTCTGACAGCTTAGTGGTGGCAGAATGTGCAGATTTTTAGATAGTCATTCGAGGAGCTATGTCCCTTGTTCCAGAGCTGCACGCCATATGCTGAATTAGCACTGATGGTTTTGTTGGATACATTAGCCCCAATTTTGGATCTGCTAAAATGGAAAGTGATGCTAGTATGAGAAGGGCTTAAATGAAACCTCCACGAGAGAGAGAGAATCACTAGAGTTTGGATACAATACTTTTATGGGCCTGAAATCCCACAGCCAAAAATGGGCACTGGGAGTTGCACTCCCCAAAAGTATCAGTGCAGACAACAGAGGATTACTTTGGATTTCCTGTCCCATTTGTGAGCTTCTCGGAAACATCTGCTTGGCTACCTTGCCAACAGGATTCTGCATTGAATAGTCCACTGTTCTGATGCACTGCGAGCCTTTTTTGAAGTGTTTCCCTACCTCTTCCTCTTGAGCACTTTGAGTGAAAAAGCAGAATCATGTAGCAGACTCAAAGAAGGAGCATTTGGAAAAAGTTACTTGGCTATATTACAACTCCTGAGATCTCCCAATCACCATGGTTTAAAGTTCTGCAAAGAAATATATAAGGAGCTTCTTTTGCTTCCCAATTTGACTTCTCATTATCTATTGATGTACCCCATTTCTTCGTCCTACAGGGTTTTTTTAAAATCATGAGGGAATAACATTATATGCTGGCAGAAATCCTGTTGCTTAAGCATAAGGATGATATAATCATCTGGAGTGTTTTTTCAGAATTTAAAAATTCCCAGTTCCCACACTCAAGGCTCCTATGGGATTCATTCCATCATGGGGAAGCCATTGATGGCCAATGGGGCAGGAGAAGGAGTCTTTAATCTCTGGAAACTCTTGTCACAAGGATGAATTCCATTTTGTCTCGCCGATCCTCCAAGATTCACAGGATGTTGTACATGGCGCCCCCAAACCTGTCTGTCCTTTATTCTTTTAATAACATTGGGGAGATCCACTGTGAAATAAATTAAGGTGAAAAAGCATGATCCAATTAACTTCACAGTTGTGTGGACATTTTGACGTGGGACTCTGGAGTTCGTTCAATACTATGCCACACTGCTTCTCACTTACATTTTAACATAAATTTTAAGTAAGGTAATCTTTTTGATAACCTGCACATCGTGGGCTAATGCGTGATATGCTGTGACATGCTGGCGCTCCGTTAAGATGCAGGAGAGCTGAATTAATGAGGCTGGGTTTTATTCCCTCTCATAGCAGACCAAGTAAAGACCATTTCAGAGTCTTGCTAGTGGGTCAGCTTGGGAAGGGAAGCACGATATTCTTCTGCCGAAAGATTGACAGAAAGGGTATTCAGTTTTGTTTTAATTGGGGAAAAATTCCAGTTCTTCTACTATGATTTTGGTTTCTAAACTAATGTAATATAATGTTTAGATACTGCCTAGATAACAGAAGAGCTCTGGAAAAGGATATGGAATTTGCTGAACTCCAGACCCGGCTTATCCGTTACGAAACTCAGACGACCTGTGCCAAGGAGAGCTGCCCCGTGCCGTTTGCCTTGAGCCCTCTGCCATCTCCTGGGGTTTTGTCAGAGCCTGGAAGCATCCCAGATGGGGAAGCCTTGCCAAGAGAACTCCACTCACAGGCTTCCAGGCTAAAACGCAGACCCAAAGACCTGACTAGCATTCATCCAAAAAAGCGGTAATTTTCTAAATTAAGCCAAGAATTGCTGTGCTCCTCAAGATTTTTCTACGGCATAGCCAGCTAAAATGTTCAAGTCACCTTTCCCCGCTTTGACTCATTCCTCTAATATGTCCAAATGGGGTTATCTTGCATTAGCATTGTATATATTAAAACAAGAGCTGGAGACATTTTCACCAAAGTTGCTTTGGGTCACTTCCTGCACAACACTGGCTAAGGCTATCCCCAATCAAAGTGATTTCATTTATTGTCCATGCCAGACGGAAGACATGCTAAGATACAGAATTGTGTAAGGTGGTGTTTGCCCTGCTATTTTCGATTTGTTGATTGTTCCATGCTTGACAAATCCAGCTTGGCATAGAATGTAAATGCCTTAAAACATCTGTTCTGCTTCCTCCACTTCTTTCTAGGTTAGTGAAATCTGAAAGTACAGACTCTCTCTTGTCCCAGGCCAGTGTAAGCAGCGGGAGTTGCCCAGGAATGGCCACAAGATCATGTCTGGAGACATCGGTCTCTCTGTCTTCTGTAACTGTTAGACATCATCAGGTGTGCAATGTAACCACCAAGAGCAGCTCAGGAAGCCAGAAGTGTGCTAAAAGGGCAGAAGTATTGAAGGCCACCAAAGAATCAAGATCTCAGAAGCATACACGGGTAAAGAACTTTCTGTGATCACTTAAAATGAAGTGTTTTGCTATCTTTTTGCTGTTTATAGGTTGAAGGTCAAAGTTCAGTGTATCAAAGGCACTACTACAGTCCGATTTCAACTAAGAAACCCATAAGCCATGTCAGGACTTTGCAACTTTTCCAGTCAGCCTTCTGACCTCTGCCTGAACCATCTTACAACTCCTGTATCTTTTCCAATTTTGCTATCAGGTTGACCCTTGGCTTGTGTTTCTCTATGGGGGGTGCTGCTGCATGATTTTGGCAAGTTCATGGACTAATTTCAGCCTTCTAGTTGTGTGTGCCTTTGCTGTTTATCTCATGAACTCTATTCCTGCAGTTCCTCCACAGAGCAATAGCCAGATGCATTTTCTCTCTAGGTGCAGTGAAAATGCATTTACCATATTTTTCGCTCCATAAGACGCACCTTTCCATAAGACGCACCAATTTTTTAGGAGAAGAAAACAGGAAAATATAATCTGTTTTCTTCGCTCCATAAGACGCACAGATTTTTCACCCCCCTGTTTTGTGGGGAAAAAGTGCGTCTTATGGTGCGAAAAATACGGTAAGTGCTACAACAAGGTATGTGCCCCCTGCATGCCTGTTTGGGCAGTAAAATTGCGGCGAGCCCTATAGTGCAGTGGTTTTCCACAGTACTGCAGTCCTCTGTTCACGACCTGAGTTTGACCCTGATGGGCTGAGATAGCTGATGCAAGAAAATGTGGGGTCAAGATCCGCTAATACATAGGACAGGTGATGGCTTAGGGTATAGGCTGTTCTATCCTATAGTGAAATAGGCCAGCCTCACAGTAAAATGTTCGTTTTACAAAGCGAACATACAGCTCACTTAGGAAAAGATTCCTCCTGCCATTATGTCCCAATATGCACACTTCCCCCCAGCTGGGATATCATCTCAGCATATTAGAGTATAGTCTGCATTAGCTTTAAGTAACTAATCAAAGGAGGTCATAAATTAAAGGAGGCTCAACAAGAAAAAAAATAAAGATCTTAACAAATTGTTATGTGTGTTGAAAGGTTTTAAGAACCTGGTGCCTAATGCATATATGTTATTCCTATTCATGTGAAGCAGGTAAATAAGCAGTCTGTGTCCTCAGGTTACAAAAGAAAATTGAAAAACATATTTCCTGCATGAGTCTGCTTCATGCATTACATCTTTTATTGGATGCAGGGAAGTGTTTTATGCTGCCACAAGCGGTCATGAAGACTAAAAGTATGTGTTTGTGAATACAGTTCTATTCAGTTGTTTTTTACCCCAGGAACTTCTTTTTTTTGTTTGTTTTGTTTTTTTGGACTTATATACCGACCCATAGCGCTACAAGCACTCTCCGGGCGGTTTACAATTTCATTATACAGGCTACACATTGCCCCCCCAGCAAGCTGGGTACTCATTTTACAGACCTCGGAAGGATAGAAGGCTGAGTCAACCTTGAGCCGGCTACCTGGGATTTGAACCCCAGGTCGTGAGCACAGTTTTAGCTGCAGTACAGCGTTTTAACCACTGCGCCACGAGGCTCTTCAAGAGAAGGGTGGCTAGAGAATGGATAACTGAGCAGCAAAGATTCTGAAGAGTTCAGTTCCTTGTTTATGTGCAGATTTTTCAGAGTTCTTGCTCATGCAAGGGGCAACCTCTTTGTTAAGACTTGCTGCTACCACAAGAAGGTGGTAGGCTAAACCTCTTTGTTAAGACTTGCTGCTACCACAAGAAGGTGGTAGGCTAGCTGCCTTTCTCTGTTGTAGCTTGACCAGCTCTCTTGTTGCTTTCTCCAAGATGCTGAAGGAAGTGGTGACAAAAACACTTGAGCGTCACGGCATCGTTGAAGACCACAAGTGCTTTGCCGCCTGTAGCCAACGTCTGTTCGAGATATCCAAATGCTATTTGAAGGTACTTGCACATTTCTTCTCTTTCCCCACACTCAGAACAGCAAACAACTATCCTGTGGTTTCATAGGTTGATCATTTAAAATGTAGAAAACTCAACAAGAGTAAATGTCGGTGTGCAACATATTCAATAAGTGAAGTGCCTGACAGCCTCCTACAGCATGCATGGATTTTTATTTCTTCTCTGGCTTGAGAAAACCCTATCACATCCTCCAGTTTGAGAGTTCTGGGAATGCAAACCTCAATGCATTCATTTTTCTTTCATTAAGAGTCCACCTTAAAATGGCAAGAGCTTCATAGCTGCTTGCTCTTGCACCATTTCTTTGTGGTGGAGCAAAGGAAGGTGCATTTTATCAGATCAAACTAATAAATTATATATTTAATTTGTACAAACTCTGTCCATCTTGCATGGTATAGATTATTCAAGGTCTCAGGTAGCGAGAGTATTGAGTGCCTGGTGATGACGAGCCTTAGGCCTTTCCACATGTAGGGCATGAATTCTACAGTATTCTGAGATGTTGCTACAGTCCCAAATATAAAGGAAACATTTGCTGACACTCATTCCGCAAGCATGCCCAGCTCTGGACACTGAGGAAGTAGAGGTCAACAGAGAGTTAAGCTGATCATGATATTCGGAGTTACATTTGCACTTAGCCATGTAATCATTCACAACTTGTATGGTATTTGAACTCTAGGACACACCTACATAGCAACATGTGTCACTGTGTGGATGTGGCCTCTTCTTATCTGGACATTTGCCTTAGTACAGCACATCGTACAACAGTTAGCCCAGTTCCTGTGTGTACTCTTCATAAGATATCATTACCATTTCAAACCTGCTGACAAAAACACCAATTAAAGGCATACTTTTTCACGTATCTGTTGGCTGCCATCATGAATATTAACTATGTTAACCAATCTCTTGCAATTTTGTGAAGCTACACCTAGAAATGTGTGAAGCAGCTCTTCTCAAAGGCATTTTGGCAATTTCAGATGTTAGACAAAAATCTTGCAGAACTTACCTTCTGGTGGAAATCTTCTCACCTCAGTTGTGGTCTATTGTTCAGTGTGTGTCAATAAATCAGTATCAGAGTGTTCAGACCTCCAACCTAACTCATTACATCTTAGCATGAGTTGTTTACAAATTAGAGGTCTCAACACTGTAATACAGGCCAGTGGAAAAACCTCACTGTAACGGGCTTGGAGGAAATTGGGTCCCAGAAAGTTATCTCCAGGCAAGGACAGAACTATGTGCAGCTGGAGTGTAATTGCACATCTCACCTCTGTAATCCATAAGATACTTGTGTCTCCCTCATCTATAAACACCCATATGGTACACAGTACAAATTTGGGAATCTGCACATTTTAGGTAATACAGTCTGTGAGGATTCAGAATGCTTGAAGTGTAGTATATCCTCCTGGATTATTCAGACTTCACAATGGAAGTAAAATGCTAGTTCACTGGAGCATTCATGTCTCATGCTGGCGTACACTAAGAGAACTACCTTGCTCTGTTAGTGAGCAATAAAGGCAGTACCAGAGGAATGAACTTCATTCCCACTAAAAACTGCTTACTGTATTTTTCTGTGTATAAAATGACACTTTTTTACTAAATAATTAGACAGAATATTGAGGGTTGTTTTATACATGGAAGGCAGCCGCTTTCCCTGCCTTTTGCGAAGCCACAGGGTAAAGCAGCCGTGAAAAGGTGACACACTCGCACTCCTTTGATCCTGAAGCAGCCATGAAAGGGCTTTCAGGATCAAAGGGGTGCAAGCGTGCCACCCTTCCATGGCTGCGTTACCCATTTCCTGAGCCCCACAGGGCTTAGGACGTGGTTAATGCAGCCGTGAAAGGGCAGCAGGATCGTGCCCCTTTGATTCTGAGGCAGCCATGAAAAGGTTTCTGGACCAAATGGGTGCGACCGTGCAAATTTTCTGATTTGGGGGTTAGAAAAGGTGGGGTCGTCTTATACATTGAGTCATCTTATAAACAGAAAAATAGGGTATCTTTTGTGTAAACATGGTTGTGTTACTTTGATGTTCTATTTCTTGTTCCCTCTTTATTCCTTATATGCCTGTTATCCTATGCTACCCTGCTTCCCTGAAAATAAGACCCAACCTCAAAATAAGCCCTAGTAGGATTTTTCAGGATGCTCGTAATATAAGCCCTACCCCCAAAATAAGCCCCAGTTAAAGGAAACCCCGCCCTCCACCCTTGTGCAGCAACCAGAAGATGACATGACTGTATTTGAATAAATGTAGATTATAAGACCCTGTGTTATTTTCAGGGAAACACGGTATTTAAACTTTTTGAAAGCAAATGCTGTGTGGAATATGAATTTCGGCTAGCTGAAAGGAGAGGATAAGAGCTTGATAAAATACTGAAGGGTGACAGAATTTTGTGGTATTTCTTCATCGTAAGGAGGTTGCAACAGTGAATTGGATTAAATGGATGTGTGGGCAAACGAGGCTAAAGCTTGTGGTACAAAGACGGAACATTGCAATAACAGTCAATAGAGAACTAACATGGTCAGTGAGCTGGGCTTTCTTTTACCTTGTGCTGCTGTTAGATATCAAAATTAGGAAAAGTAAATTGCAGATTTTACTCGTTTACAAATAAATCTGAATATCAGTAGACTAGTACATTTCTAAAGTATTGTTTTGTTTTTTATCTAGGATTTGAAAACATCTAGAGGTCTTTTTGATGAAATGAAGAAAGCTGCTAACAGCAATGTTAAACAGGTGACTCTTACTGGCCCATGTGTGTAAATTATACTTTCTGTATTGGGCAGTATTACAGTGTTTTGCCACTGAAGCTTGGTTTCCCTTCTTTTGTTAAGTAATATACTTGGCTTCCTTTCTTCATGAATGTAATATTGCTATCTTAAGAGGTCTCTAGTGTGAACAGGCTACCTCCATTTTATTTATATGTTTATATCTGGTGTGTATTCACAGGTGATTGAATGGGTTTTAGAAAAGAACAAGGACACGTGACGTGTGCCGGAGAACTTGACGTTCTGTGGAGCCTTCTTTGAGTAAGCTCAGTACATTAAATGGACGGCTTGGAGTGCCTAATTAGTAACAATGCAAGTGCCTACAATCAACGTGTAGCAAAATCTGCATTATTACTTTTAAGTGAGAGAGTTTTTGTATATAGAATATTTATTATGTCCTATTGTATAAAAATAAATTTTCTTTGTGTATGTATGGTTTGTACAGTTATTTAGACTGATTTAAAAGAATCTCAAGTCTGTATGGGTTAAGATACTAAACCATTAAAGTTTTACAAGATGGGAAAATGTTCTTATACATTGTAAGAAATTCCTGCCAGGACCCGTCACTTTTATTGAATAACCTTAAATCTGGAATAAATTGAAAGGTCATGAAAAGAAACACCCTTCCTTTAAAAGTTACAACCAACCTCTTATTCACAGATCAGTCCCCATGATCCACACTGAGGAATGGTACAGCACAGGAAAAATACACTACAGTGGACCCTCTACTTACGGAATTAATCCGTATTGGAATGGTGGCTGCAGGTCGAAAAGTCTGCAGGTCGAGTCTCCAGTGATTTACAATGCATTGAAAACCGATTAATCCCATAATCGGCTGTTTTTGTTCCATTTTTTTTTGTCTGTAGGTTAATTCTCAGGCTGCAAGTTGAACCTAAATTTTGCGGCCAGAGAAGTCTGTAACTCGAAAAGTCTGTAAGTCGAGCCGTCTACAAGTCGAGGGTCCACTATATATGATGCAAAAGAAGATTTGAGTGAAAGAATTTTGTAGCTTGTACTTTACTAGATGGTATTCTGTTCACAAATGTGCATCAGTCTGCCTCATGCTACAAAAATCCTTTGTTTCTTTAAATATCCATCATCAGAAGAGAATTTTGTAGCTTGTACTTTACTAGATGGCATTCTGTTCACAAATGTGTATCAGTCTGCCTCATGCTACAAAAATCTGTTTCTTTAAATATCCATCATCAGAAGGTACCCTGCCCCTCCTTGGCATTCCTGCAACTTCCTCCTTGGCTTTGATGGTTTTGCATTTCCTTCTCCAACTTAAGTAATAAGTCATGCTTCTGTTGCCAAGGCTGCCACATTGGTGTACCAGTCTATAAACAGTGCCTTGTTTTTCCACCAGCTACTAGTTAAAACATTTTAAAATTGTTTATACCACAAGTGTTCACCTGTCACTTGCCTGTAGTCCTTGTCCCTAGTGTTTACAGAGTTATCCTCCTGTCCATTTGAGCCCATCAAACATAAGGCTGCCCATGGCCTTCCCGGTTACCACAACCTATCTGAACCGTGATTCTTTGTTTTTCATAGAGGCACAATACTGTTGAGACCCAGTACAGTATTTTTTTTCTGCCTAAGAGATGGCATCTTCCTTTCTCAACTAGGATGTCTTTTTCTCTACCTCTTTCCATCTTTTGCTTAAATTTGGAATGTACCGTAAGTTCCCTAGATGTCAGGAGTGCACTCACCTTTTTAGGACATATCCTTTCTGATTCTCCAACTAGCTCTTCACCATTTGCTGTGGGGAGTGTCATAAAGGTCATCCTGTCTCCTTCAGTATTTTACCAAGTAGTTTCTACAAGCTCTTAACCTCTCCTATCGGCAAGCCAAGATCCCCATTCCAAACAGCCTTTGCCATCATTCACTTCTGGCATTTCCTATGCCATCTGCTCTCTCATTTGGCGTTTCTCTACAAGATCTTTGTCAGGCTGCTACTTGGTCCATTTCATTCACATGTGCACAGCATTTATTTATTTATGTATTTATGTATTTATTTATTTATTTGATTTATACCCTGACCATCTGGACTATAAGGCCACTCTAGGCGGCTTAGATGCCCGTGGCCAGAGAGAGGCCTCCTTTGCATGGGCTTAGTTATCATCTATCCTTCAACGATCAAGACAGTGTGCTCTGCCTTTACATGCTAAGCTATGTAATCTGTCCATATATGTGAGTCACAAAACAATGCAGGCTGCCTCCCTGTGACCTCAAAACCCACCTGCCTCCCTGTGACATACCCTTTTTTTTCTAGGTGGAATGGGAACTAAAGGTTAGTGCTGTGATGCAGCTGCATATGTGCAGTATGCGTAGGGTGTGGGGTTTCTACCAAAATGTCATCAGTGACATAATTCTGAGACTGGCGCTTCAAAGGTACATCACCCTGTAGGTGTGAGTTCACAAATGACCACTCAAAAGAACTGTTTTTACAGATAGATAACCTGTACAGTGGTGCCTCCCTTAGCGATGTTAATCCGTTCCCGGAAAAACGTTGCTAAGCGATTTCATCGCTAAGCGATTTTTAAAAGCCCATAGGAACGCATTAAAATGTGTTTAATGCATTCCTATGGGCTTCAAAACTAACCTTATGCGAAGATCCTCCATAGGGGCGGCCATTTTCGGTCCCTCTAAAGCGAGGACACACAGCGGGCAGTCATTTTGAACCCGCTGATCAGATTTTGAAACCACCAATCAGATGTTTAAAAAGGGTCGCTTTGCCATGATCGCTTCCCCGCGATCATCACAAAGCGATTTTCCCCCATAGGGACCATCACAAAGAGATCACTTTTGCGATGGCCAAAACCCCGTCGCTAAGCGATTTCGTCGCTCAACGGAGCAATTGCTAAGCCAGGTACCACTGGTTTATTTGTACAAAAGATGAAGGTAGGTAGTAAATTATCAATAGCCAAAATCCTCTGCATTAACTTATGCTTGCTGATGGGTGATGATGCCCATGGCAGGAGGAAATTTTGGTAATTAAAGGCTTCCCTTTTCTATCCCATGGCCCCCACAGCTTCCAACCAATGAAACAGATCACTTACAAGCTGAAAAAGTGGTGGGAGAGAAGGGGCAAGTCTTTAATTATCAAAAATCTCCCCCTGCCAGTAATGCCGTCATCCTTCCGGGGATGTTAAGATACACAAGATTTCAGCCTACGTGATGTTCAGATGCAATGCTAATTCAATATGTGCCTGAGGCTCTGGCTCAAACAGGATCCCACTCTTTTTGAACAGGAAATTAGAAGCTGTTGTTTCTAAATGTCTTAGTTAAATATAACTCAAGGAGCTTCTGCTTAGTGTTTAGACTTGGCTTGTTCTCAAGCAGATGTTTAAGCTTTGGTGTGGAATTTTTGCCCTACTGCTCTTCTGGTCTACAACTTCCGCCAACCCTGCAGCCAATGGCGTGACAGCTGAAATCCAAAATACGCTATCTGGACAGCCAAGATGCTTGCCTCTCATTTAAAATACTAAGTTGAGACACAATAGGGATTTCTGGTTACATTAGAATTACTGTACATCAGCTTTACTAGAGGCAGAGGAGAAAGCCTCTCAAGGTTGTCAACATGCAGCACTTCAGTAACAAATTCTGATAATGCCTGGCATTTTGCGAGCCTAGCAATAAACAACATTCTTCACATGCCGTAAGCCTGTGATAACTGTCCCAAATTGTACCATTTGGGGCCTCACAATCAGTTTTAGCAGTTAATTGTTCAGCTGTAATTCCCTTGTTATACAGTCCAGGTACTGTTGTTCGCATTTGTACTTCTTTGGAAAAGACACTAATTTGGTACTTCATTCTACACGAATTGCTATTACAGTTTTCAACACTGGATAAATGTTACTTCAGTGAAGTAAACCACTTGACAATTGTGGACTTACTGTTATCCATATGCTCTGCTCAGCCTTAAAAATTCAGCGGGTTTAAAATATTGCAAGTGATGACAGTATAGAGAGATATTCATTTCCCCCCATAATTATCACCTCACAAAAACTCCAGTAAATGTAATTTTATTAAATATATTCTTCCTCTAAAATATAAATATTTTAAACTAAATCTTAGAAATCTGGAGTAGCTTCTTATAATTCATTCTGTCAACCCCAATCAAGTATGAGTCGGTCCAAAAATCTGTATTTAATTTGTCTATAAATATATAACAATTTTTATCTTTGCAAACTAATTATTTGCTTCTTCATATTGTAATCTGAGCACCGTAAATTACATGACATAACTGCTTCATTCAATAGTTGATAACTAATAGATGAATTCTGATTATTCACAATGCAGATATACCTATAATATTCCAGTGATTTTTTAAGTGTTTAAAGAAGTAGTGCAGTAAAATTTCCATACACATTGACTTACCCTACAATACACAATATTCTGTTTTTTTTTTTAGTATTCTGTCTTTCAAATTTGCAAATACCCTCCTTTTGTGACTGTCAATGCCCTGAAGGAGGAACTTCTGTTTCCTACTAGGTTAAAAAGAATGAAGTTTGGTATTCCTTGTGGTTTTCAATGTGCAAGTTCCTTAATAACTGTTTTTATTAAAAGGTACTTTAAGTCAAGCATTGCATACCCGCTATCATCCTTTAACTGACAGGCACAGACGTTCTAATGCACTTAATTGGAAGCCCCTGCCTGCAAAGATCTACCTCTTCACTTTACCGTAGGAAAGAAATCTATCTTTAGCTTGGCCCTTCTATTTCCATTGAAGTGAAAAGTGGAAACTTGTACACGATTAAACTCCATGTGCACAATGAAGTGGTATACAGGGCCCTAGAAAAAGAACAACACTGTAAATTGGTTTTTATGAATATTATTACAGTTGCCCAAAACATCACCCTTTTTGGAAGATACTTTCACATAAACCTACAGCAGCTAGAACTGGTAGACATTTAATGTTCCCAGTTTCTTAACTATGGTGAAAAGGCCAATTGTCTTTGCTTGTTCTCTCCAGTTCTTCCCTGCCCTGCTCTAGTGATAGTTAAGAATTATGTGAGTATCATAGACGTTAGTAATCTTAACCATGTTTTCGCATAATCAGGGTCTGCTTCAAACACAGATTGGGAGTCCACCCTGTATAGGGATAAATCAGGTCAGAACGAGAGACAGAGTTAAGTAACTTCCATGTTACTAGTAAGCCGTGGCCTTTTAATTATTGCTGAGAACGCAGAATACTTTCATACTTTTTTTATTTTTGGCTATGCCCCCAAAGGAACATTCTGTAATAAATATTTCAGTAACATGGATTCATCTTCCTGTCGTCTTATATATAAAAGATTATTTCCCCAACTTAGCATATATATGAATATAACCCTAAAGATCAGATAGACTTTATTTACTGTCTGCCTCACTTCCATGGGACACTATTAAAATGAAACCAACTGAGTTTCCTTTTTGGTCTGCAAATCAAAAGGCATCGATATCAAAAATTTAGTATAACTGTTCCAAATTTTTCTTTAAAAGGATGATTTGTAAGAAGCCTCCAAACTATTTCCTGGCTTTCTGTGTACAAAATAAGATTTTTAGTGTTGATGCATTTGGAAATCACGGCTCAAACATGACTGTTTGCATACAACAGGAAAGCAATACAATTTAAGTTCCTACTTTAGTTCTTATGCCCCTCTTCTGTCCAATGCTAACTTGAGAGCAAGGATATAGAGATAATCAAGGGAGGGTGGTGCAAACTTGCCTATTTCTCTTGGGGTTAGGAGAGGCAAACGTTAAGTAGATATTTTCTGTGTCTTAACTCCCGCAAGGACTGGTCACTGGTATGTATCAAAGTTTCAGAGTTAGGTCCTGTGAACCAAGAGGTCACAACCTTCAAGAGAAACAGAAGATGCTCAAAATCTTTTTTTTAAAGAATGATGGCAGTTAATCCTCTGCTCTGGTCTAACACCCTTAAAAAGGAGGAAAGCTTTGGGGGTCTTAATCCCTCCTCTTTCCTAAGACCTCAAAAACATAGGTTGAGACGACATCAGGAAGGTCACATTACCTGAACCTAACCCCTGCAATGTGACCGTGAGTACTAAAAGGGGCACCAACTTCTCAGCTAGTTGTGAGTAACTTTCATATGCTTAGGAGCCATTCTTTTGCCCTTGGAGGCTGCACAGACCACAAAAAATGCTAGTGCAAAAAAACGGGACAGCGGTCTCCTTAAAAGACAAGGTGTCTTTTTCTCTAGAAAAAGGGGAGAGGGTACATAAATAAGCTTGAGTGCCGTTGCCATACCTGCCCCTACTCTATACCGCCCCCCCCATAGCTCTTCTCTGTCTCTGCATCTGGCTTGTGTTTGTTTCTTCTTTTTTTCCATTTGTTTTTAGATAGTGACAGAAGGGGTACCTTTGCCTGATCTCTCGTAAGTGATCACAGCTATTCTTCCATCTTTGATACTTAGCTGGGCTCCTCCTTTCCTTCTGCTGCTGTTTCTTTCCCTTCTCTCTTGCTTCAGCAGCCCCCTCTCTGCTGTCTGTTTTTCTCTTATATGGCAAGCGCTTCCACTTTTACCTTCAATGGTGTTTGCAGCCCACGAGGGCTACAGAGGACATAAGACAATTCCTCCATCTGTTGGCATCTCAGAGCCAAAGGACACTGTGGTGCTTCAAAGTGAACTTCTTACTTTAGAGTAAATGCAGGGAGCCTAATGTTAACCTGCAGGGGGTGTGTATGTGTGTGTCTTTAACCATTTCCCCTACTGCAGTCCCCATCTCAATTGAGGACCCTATTCCTGCATTTTACAGTGCCAAATAATGGATCACTACTTGGCAATACATGCAACTGAGAGGCCCCTGAAGTGGATTAAGACTACAGTTGGTGGTGAGGAGGGTTAGATGGACATCTCCTTCTCACTGGGCCCTGATTCACACTGGAACCCCCTGTATTTCCTTTAAATTAAACTGCGGGCTATGGACCTGAAGTTGATCGTGCAACCAGACACGTGAGCAGGTAAGCATCCTAGTTGGTTGCAGTCAGGTGATTAGACGTTTCTGCATTGCCACGGCTGCCTGCATGTTTGTAGTTACAAATGCATTAAATTCGACAGGACAGTTGTCCAAGTATTTGGAATCTCTGGGATGATGCTGCAAACAACGTAAGGCATGGACCCCATTGCTTACAGAAGAGATAACTGTTGAACTTATTAGAGGTGCAGGTAGCCATACGCTGGTTGCCCCAGCTAAAAATTAATTTAAAATCTCTCTCTCCCCCTTTTAAAATTTCCCAAAGAGTTTTTCCAATTTTTTTTTTTGCTGCCTTGATTGCATTTCCAATATAATGTTTTGAAATGCATCTAGTGTAACAATCTGCAGTCAACAAAAGCTTGTGCCAAATGACACTTGCTAGTTGTTAAGGTGCTGTAAGTTCTCTTTGCTGTTTTTACTGTTAACAGAGTAATATGGTTACTCCGGTACTCTAACATGGATCATGAATCTCAGCTATACTCCCCCACCCCCGGGCAACAAGTTAGAGCTATTAACATGGGCGCAATTCGATTTTCATAACAGTTTGCTTCATTTTTACCACCAAAATGTACAGGGCAATGCCATGGGAACCCTTTAAGAATGCATTTGATGCTCCCTTTTGCATGAACAAACACACCAAGGCACACTCCATTTAGAGCTGAATGATTTGCTGCAGCAACTCTAGCACCAACCTTCCCAGCCGTTGTAATGATGCACTTTTATGTGATGTTTACAAAGCACTGGAAAACAGGGCCAAAGTGGTAGAACTCCAAATCATTGTCCAGCTCTATTGTCGGGACAAGTGGCATATTAATGTAAGAAAAACTGCATTTTCCTGGAACTTTATAGAAAGGAAAAAATGGCTTGATGAAAGCATGAAAAATACTTCCATAATACAGAGGGTCTAATGGCTTTGTTAGGCAAGTCCTATGTGGATAACTACTTGTCCCTCTGCTTAGCCCTTAACTGCAAATGGTTCCCCAGCTTTCGACCCTCAAGGATTGTTCTGTGCATCAATCTGCCTGCCCTTTCTCTGCATACCACAGAGAATTCTAGACTGTGTTTTAGAACACTATCCGTTAATACAGACTGCTGGCCAGATCTATTGAGGGTAGCTGCTGATGCACATCAACATAGTGTATCCTAAAATGGACCTCTATAGTTGTGCATTACAGTACAATATAGGATATAACTAGCATGCTTTCTGTTTCGGGAAGATTGTCTACTGTTGCCAGTTTTCTCAATACAGAACCCTGAATTGTCTAAGGAATATCTTAGAACCTACATTGAAAACCACTTCTCTATGACACTTAAATAGGCACAGTTATGAATCTGAAATACCACCATGGGCCATTAAGCTCTTACTCCTTCAATGTTTGATTTTTGCCTTTATTTACAGCAGTCAATGGTGTTTCCCTCACAATGTGTTAGTTGTAGCACACATGGTCCTGCTTTCAAGCTTGCCGACAAGTCGTATTCTCTTCTGTCTTCTTTTTTCATAGCTGATCCCACTAAGAGTGTTGCCCCATCAGAGCTTAAGGCTCTGCATAGGACAATTGTATGTCCTTAGCAGCTCCAGGTGTCGCCGAAATGTTACTTGCCATTTAGACTGAACAGGCAGCTCTGTTTTGTATTTGCAAAACTGAACAGATGGCATTTATGCTACCAACCCAAGTCTCGTAATCTTGGCTGAAAGGAATGAGTGAATGATGAACACAATCGGCTTTGGACAAGAGTGAAGATCCAGTTGCTGAAAAAGAGAGAATTGAGGGATTGTGAGTTGGACAGAAGAGTTATGCAAAGATCACACAGAAGAGCTGTCTTGGCTCCTTGGAAAGAAATAAAATAAAATAAATAAATAAATAAATAGAGAAGGGGAGGGGAGGGAGGGAGGAAGGAATAGAAAGAAAGGAAGGAAGGAAGGAAGCGAAAGAAAGAAAGAAGATTGGACCTAAAGATGCCTTGCTCCCAAAAGGAGTATCTTTATGAACAAAAGGGTATCTTCTGACCCAGCCCACTAAACAGGTTACAGTATAGTAAGATCACATCCAGGATAAGCACAATATTCAACTGGTGTGCAGATTATACAATGGTTTTAGAGATGGTCATGAAGTCCTACAGTGGTGCCTCGCATAGCAAGGTTAATCTGTTCCGGATTAACCTTCGCTATGAGAAAACATCGCTGTACGGATCAAAAACAGCCATTGGAACGCATTAAGGCATCGCGTCGGCCCCAATGGGCGAAATTCGCATAGCGAAGATCGGTAAGTGTTTCGCTTACCGACCTTCACTTTGCAACCCGCGGATCAGCTGTTCAGCGGGTCCAAAATGGCCGCCGGAACACCCGAAATGGCTGCGCACAACGTTTTCGCCCCCTCCCCTCGCTTACCAAGGGCGCGAAAACGCTGCCCGCGGCCATTTCGGGTGTTCCGGCGGCCATTTTGGACCCGCTGAACAGCTGATCCGCGGGTCGCAAAGCGAAGGTCGGTAAGCGAAACGCTTACCGATCTTCGCTATGCGAATTTCGCCCATTGGGGCCGACGCGATGCCTTCGCATTAGCGATCCCGGAAAAGGGATCGCTATGCGAATTCATCGCTGTACGGGGCGCTCGTTAAGCGAGGCACCACTGTATTAGATAAGCAACAACTGAGATGCTAGCACTTCTAGAGAATGATGGGTATTGTACTTCATCAACATTTGGCTGGCCACAGATTCTTAGTTCTAAGACTAAAACTTCCAGAAGCCTTCACCACTAGCTTTGCTGGCCAGAATTTCTGGGAATTGTAGTTGAAGAACATCTGGGGACCCAAGGTTGGGAACCACTGCTCTCTCTATATTGCTGCAATACTGTATAGTGTCTATCTGCTAATAAAGGAATGAACCAGCCTATAAATAATGGGGGAAACATTCAGATTTGCTTTAATTGCACAATTCCTACAATATATGCCTCATACAGAATTTGGGCTGGCCAGAAACAAAATTCTTTTTTTCTTTCGCACTTCATGGATGTTAACTCTAGTCTGTTTGTTTCTGGAGGTCTAGGAATTGTACCATGAAATTTGTCTTACCAAACTTTCCCCAAATCCCTCAGTATCTGCTAAAAGGTGGCCAATAGAGTACTGTCCAATAACAAAATATTTTAAAATGATCAGCACCCCCCAAATGATAACAACCCATAGCCAGAAATACATGTTGAAATAATAAAATCCAACTTACAATTTCACCTTCCTTTCCTCCAAAGTCTAAGTAAAGCATTCGGATCCCATCATCTGAGGACATTTTTAGCTTCTCATAGGGAAACTGTAGAATAGTTTTGGGAAAGGCACCATCTTGAGGTTCAGTTGTAAGAGAAAATCCATGCTCATAATGGATGGTCAAACGGCACTCCTGGTTTCTGTAGGTGCAAACTGAATAAGGTAGAAACCATGGATTTGGGGCACTTTAGAAACAACAGTAACAACAACATTGACCTCCCAACATCTATTCATTAGACAACCACAATAGTCATCCTTTTGCATTTCTATGCCCCTTCATCTCTCTTCCACCCAAGCACAGACATTAATCTCTGTCTGTTCAGAGAAAAAGCCATATATCTGATGTAGCTGCAGTCCATAAAGGCTTGTGTCAAATAAAACCTCTTAGCCTAAATCCAATTTTTAATCCGAAGTAAAGTACATCCAGATAACAGTGTGTTGCAGTGGAGAGAGTGACATACTAGGATTCTGGAGAGTAGGGTTCTAATCCCTGCTCAGCCATGGAAATTCACTGGGAGGGTGGAACAGGTAAAACCAATCCTTAAATGTGTCACTTACCTTGGAATCCCTATTAGGGTCTCTGTAAGTCGGTTCCGACTTGATGGCACATAACAAAGTACATCCACTGAAGCAATGGAATTTAGGTAACTGCTGAGCTACCATGTTCACATTGATTCAGTAAGTCTACTCTAACTGGAACTGGATTTAGGGGTTAGTCTATAATGTGCCGCAAGACCCTTTGCTGTTTTTACTCCCAAGGGACAGTCGTGTGAAAACAAAGTACACCCTCTTTGAATTCTATGATTTTACATATCAGGACATAATAAAAATCATCTGGTCCTTAGCAGGTCTGAAAATGAGGTAACTACAACCTCAGAGGAACAACAACACATGACATACAGTGGTGCCTTGCATAGCGACGTTAATCCATGCAGCAAAAATCGCTGCTAAGCGATTTCGTCGCTATGCGATTTAAAAAAGCCCATAGAAACGCATTAAAACCTGTTTAATGCATTCCTATGGGCAAAAAACTGACCTTTTGCGAAGATCCTCCATAGGGGCGGCCATTTTCGCTGCCTCTTAAGCGAGGAATCTGCAAAAACACAGCGAGCGGCCATTTTTTTACCCGGCAGCCATTTTGGAACCGCCAATCAGCTGTTAAAAAATCTTCGTTTTGCGATGATCGGTAAGCGAAACAGGGAACCGATCCTCGCAAAGCGAAAAAAACCCATTTAAAGCATTGCAATGCGATCGCTTTTGCGATCGCAAAATCTTCGTCGCTATGCGGTTTTGTCGCTAAACGGAGTGCCCGTTAAGCAAGGCACCACTGTATTACCCTGTGTCATGATTTATTTTACAGAAATAAAGACAAAATGTGAGAAAAAGTAAGTAAAAACTAAAACTAGAAGAGAGTGTACTTTCTTTTTCACCTGTAAAGGACTACCAACTGAACTTGCCTTCCATTGAAGAAGCATAAGAAATTCTTGAAGATAGCTCTACTGGAGCCTCTGCTAAAGAATGAGAGCCAACCTATACAAAACAGTAGCTTCACAATTAGAAAAGGGAATCAGTGACACTTCTTTAATATTTATTCTACTGCAAGGTTTCTGCAGCTCTGAAAATTATCATGGGTTACTTTGGTTTTGTGGCTGGCCACCGCAAGGTAAACAGGCTTTGTTTACAACTTGGAAAGAATGTCTGTCTAGAGAGTTGATGTCTTATTGCCTTCTAACTGCAAAGTTGCCTGATTAGTGAAGCACTCACCGGTTGTGATTTCTGTGGAGAGCTCTGCGGCATTGTGGCAACCTTGAACGATGCTTCGTGTCCACAGTGAGAGGTCTCGGCTAGTCTCTGTCCTGAAGAGGTGGCTTTCGATCCCTTGCCGTGTGCCTGTACGAGTAGCAAAGGACAAATCCATTCCTGACTGCGGGGAGCCCTTCCCTGGCCCTGAATGCACCAACCTGAAGGTAAGGGAACAGAACGAGAAACTACCATTATGAAGTTTAGTGGAAACCCTTCATGGCAGAACACATGGCTAGGGACTCAGTCCCTGAAAAACTTAAAACGAACCAGGTAGCAACAGATGATGGGAGAACAGGTTCCCCCCTCCCCCCCCCAAAAAATACCTTACCCACCACCATCAATCTTCCTCTACAACAGGGAAAGATGAAGGATGGGCTGAGGGCAACATAGGCCTTCCCTGAGGAGCCCACGTGCACCCCTCTTGCATTATCAGGCTCCCACCATTTATTTATTTATTGAAAGATTTGCATAAGGCTCTGGAGGCCACATGGCAATTTCGCCATGGCCGCCACCAGAGACATTTTAGGCCCCACGTGGCGATTTTCTATAACTGGGAGTGACCAGAAGAAACAATAAGAAGAAATAAAGCTTTTAAGGAATAGCTATGCATCACAGCGATAGTATGTGTGCTATAGACTTTCCAGACGAACAAGGGAAATTTGTTCTCACTTGCATTCATTGATAGCTGCTGAGATGAAAGTTTCTCATACAGCAGAACCCCTCTCCCTAATATCTGCTGGAAAGTGGTTCCAAACTCCTATGGATACTGAAAACCGTGGATAATATCTATCTATCTATCTATCTATCTATCTATCTATCTATCTATCTAT